TTGCAAATTTCGCTCTCGTGTCCACCGAAGACAATGTTTTCCATTTGATTCTCCGGTTGCTTCTGCCACCAGGTCTTCGTACGGTACTCTGTTTCTTACAAGTCAGTTTGACAGCAACAAGGTGATGATCGGTTGATAGCTCTGCACCTCTTTTAACGCAGACATCCATTATTGAACGTCTTAAGTCGGACGATACGATTATCAAATCAATCATCGACTTCTGTGCACAAGCTTCCCCGTATCAGGGATTCAGATGCACGCTTCGATGATTGAGAGTGTTCACAATGGACGAACCGTTGATATTGATATGACATCAGGCCATTTGTTTCTCTCGAGATTCTTAACTATCATACCTTTCCCCTTTTTACTGTATGCTCCGACATGCACAATGAAATCGTCCATTAAAATGAGGGACTGCGTTCGGAGCACAATCTATTTCGTCAAGAAAGGGTTTTCTCTCGAAACTGATCGCATTGACCTGTAATAACGTCGACCTTTAAGCCTGTTGTAGCATCAGTCGGAGGATTGCCATTCTTCCACTGACAGGCTTCCATTCAATGATTCTCTCAGCCAGGTTGTGAACGGTCGTACCAGAACACCAACGCCGGTCTAAGCGCGCGTCGTGAGGTCGACAGCTAAATGAAGCAGCTTCCACCCGCAGGGGTTCATAATTCCAGAGCTTTAGCGCATCGTTAACGAGAGTCCAACAATATCGAGTTGGTAGTTTATGTCCTCGCCAACTGACTCTTCCTATTTTGTTCTGAGTGTGGATACATTGCAATTTCCGTCTGTAAGCAACCACCGGCAGTGTCATTCTGGTGTAACCTTTTCTCAGTGCTACAATGGTATTGTGCTGTGTGATTCCTCTGTTCAGAACGGGTAGTAACTCCGTTGCTGACTGGTATCTTCATCGGCGCTTCATAAATCTTCTGCCCCCGATGTTGTACTGCTACGCCCCCAGATGCCAAATGGTCGATGAGCAGGTGCCGATCCCTGGTTTTTCGCAGCCTTCCTCTGTCCCTCAAAAGCCTGCGCTGCCCTTGGTGACCCAGACGACGTTTGAGCCGGTATATTTTTCGATCACGTCAATATCATGAAGGGCAGGTGGCCAAATTTTACCGAGACTTCGCAACGGTTTCAAGACCTCCTCCTTTATCATTGGAGTTTGGGATCGTCATCGGAGGAGTTTCTTAGCAATTTCTAAAATCTCTGTTTGCCTATCGTTGATTTCTTTCTACAGCTTCGAATGCAAACCGAGCGTTACTACATGATCTGAATGGATGGACGGTAGGCATTTAGTTGTTGTGATTATGTTCTTATTTCGACTGCTTTAATTTTTTATATTTACATAAAGTTAGCTCTATGTGTTTTTACTCGTCGTTGTGCTGTGAACAGTACTTTCTGCAGCACTGTGCTATTTTACGCGTTCATATGCGTCCGCCGGCACCTCAGCACTGAGCTATCAAACATCATTTTAAACCTGTCAGCTTCTTGGTATTGAATTCTTCCGTACGAAGTAGATGTTTACACGTTAGTCCATAAATTTGGCTAACAGAAAGGAGAGTTTAGACATATTATAGAATGTGGAGATTTCTTAAATATCGCTATACGAAATGTCTTTGCATTTTGCGTCAGTCGTTCATACAAATACGTCGCTCAATCTGAGAAGGTGATTCGCTTTTTTCTCATAATGAAGTATTTAATATGTTCTTGAGCTGTTCTTTATTAAATTTCTAAAGTATTAAACAGACGTATTAGAAATTATTGCCTTTTAATATTGTGAAGATGTCATCCACAGAACACGTGTAGATGACACACGAAATCTGATTCTAAACCAATATGGGCCACCTAAACCCGTGGCATTATTTGGGATTGGGAGTCAGTGCTGGTTATGCGAACTGTCGAATGAAGCACAAGCTTCTTCCGGCCTCAGTTTAAACACCATAATCAGATCTTCCAACAAAATAGCATATGCTTGAAAAATCCAATACGATCTTTTCACATTTGCATTTCACCTGTTTTGCAAGTTTACTGAAGTGGTCTGCGGAAATCAAATCCTCACAGCATAATCCAGTGAAACTTTAACTCTGCACGGCAAACAGTTTGGTATTGGAACTCAGTTGCGAGAGGCCTTTTTATTGTCCTCGATCGTGTGGACCGGCTAATAAGAAAATTTTTAAGGCATTATATTAACGTCAGTCAACACTGCATACTAACATGAATAAATCTTAAATCGTAAGTTTATTTTCTATGGTATTACTGTTACTGCTCTTCCATTTCGATTGACAAATGGAGATTCAAAATACAGATAAAAAATATTGTGTTTAAAACGAGCTCCTATTTCACTGATTGCGTTCAGCAAGGAAAATTCATCTAAGAATCTGTTCTCTTTGAATTCAAGGAGGGAGTGTGTCGAGATATGCTTTGGTTTGGTTCTGCAGCAGACGGTATTAGGCGAAGTCACTTGACTAACTTCTTTATTTCAAGTGTAAATTAAAATATCGATTTGCTAACCGTTTGATCAATTATATCTTTTCCCTTCGTGAGTCATGAAAATCATGTTAAAAGGGGTGGTGTAAATTCCTGAAACGTTTCGACGGCCATTCTAAGACTAGCAACATGTAAGTGAAGTAACACGATATTATG